TGATACAGGGAGAAAGAATTGTTTCATTGAAGGAAAAGTAATTTTAATCTCATGGTTTAAGACGAAAAATGTATACACCTACACCATTTTGATCGATTCTGAGCCATGTCAGCTAGAAACTCAAACGATTGGTTACGATAATCGCGCGAACCTCAACCAAGTAGTCTGCATTTACCAACATGGCTCAGATCAGAAAGTTTTTAACTGTGTACATTTATTTTGAAAGATAAAATTATGTTGGACGGCGGAGGAAGGGTCAGGGTAGGGATCCAACATGACTAGGATTGATATTTTTGTATTAAACTGTTAGGTGTTCTGTGTCCTCTTTTTAAAAATATCCGATTGAAATCTTAAAAGCATTTCATGATATAAACTTCCTTTCTTTTGTTATATTTCAATAGTCCACTATTATTTCATCTTTGTATTGGTTGTTTAAATCTTTCAATTGATGTTTAGCACTGCAATTGATCATTCGCTTATTAGCATGTGTGCATCCTGTGAGGATTGTCTCGATATTGCTTTAATAAGTCATAAGAATTATAAGTAGAGATGGATAGAGTGAACATCAATTCTGTGATTTATGCACATCCAGTTGACAAGTGCTGGATTCCACTACTAATCACTACCCATCTCTGTTTCGATTATTAGTTTTGTGTCATTATAAATACAATTTTATGATTATTGATAAACAATACTGTCGAAAATATAGATTTTCTTTGAATTATCTATAATCTATACATCAATTATATAATGAGTTTGTGGTTACATCGGTCGGTCGCTGCCCGGATAGCCCAGTGGTAAAGTCTCTGACTGTGAAGCTGGGTGACACGGGATCGAATCCATCAAGGAGCACCAGTTCCCTTAAAATTTCAGGTACACCTTGCTGACAAGTGTCAAATAGAACAAAACCCGGATCAAGGGTTTCCTGTTGACTACCTCCAACCACTATCTAATCTCAACATAATGCACGCAATGTTGAGTCACCTAGACTAGTTTCCACATTGCAACTTTGTTGATAGCATTCGGATTGCACTAAGAAGGACTTGACACACATGACATTGATCACCACCCAATGATCAATCAATTATGAATTTCTTTCATTAACTTTTAATTTGTTATTCATCCTACATAATCATGGATTTCAACATTAACCAAAAAAACCCATCAAACTAACTTTAACAATATGGTACTGTTTTCAAAAATTATCTAGTTTTATTTACTTGTGTGGCGTATATATACTTGGTGCCCTCTTGTACCAATATTTATGTGTTCAAATAAAATAAATAATATCAGATGGGTTTTGTGAATATTATAGTAATTCCAATGGTTAAGATCGTAAGTCAGTTGAAGCTAGATCAACATGGAAAACCTGGAAGCACTGAACGGCTGTTTCATCCTATTGTGGGACTCCTCAGCAGTGCACATCCACGACCTCGCCCCCTGCGAGATCCGAACCCAGGACCTGTCAGTCTCGCGTGCGAGCGCTTAACCACTAAACCACTGAGCCAGCATCCAACGGTGTTATTGTCTAACTTCAACTAATCCACGAAATTGAGCGACACATCCACCATTGTCTTCAGTGAGTTACTATCTCACAACAGACCTGGTTGAACTCCACTGGTCATTACTTTTCACTAGAACTCCAGGATATACCTCGTGAAGCCAGTCACTAGTGATCATATGTTGATTAATATCAGATGGGTTCTGTGGATATTATAGTAATTTCAATGGTTAAGATCATTTCGTGGATTAGTCGACGTTAGACATTAACACTGTTTGATGCCGGCTCAGTGGTCTTATGGTTAAGCGCTCGCACGCGAGACTGACAGGTCCTGGGTTCGAATCTCGCAGGGGTGAGGTCGTGGATGCGCACTGCTGAGGAGTCCCGCAGTAGGACGGAACGGCCGTTCAGTCCTCCCAGGTTTTCCATGGTGATCTAGCTTCAACTGACTCATGATCTTAACCATTGAAATAAATAATAATTTACTCATACCATCTGTCTTTCCTTATTAAATATGTTACATATTTATAATCATTCTATATAAAACTGAATTTTCTCTTTTCCACTAAACAAGTCAAAAACGATAATAAAAACATCTATATATATATATATATTACTGTTAAAATCACAAGTTAATCTAAGCTAGACCACCATTGAATACCTGGAAGTACTTAATGTCTGTTTTAATCGTAAATTTCTTCATCTAATTTATAGTTGATAAATTTAGATCATAAACAGTGTGTATGTGTTTATGTATATATATATATGTGTGTGTGTGTTTGTGCGTGTAACATAAACTAACCATCGTTAAAATGATAAGTAAAAGGGGGGGGAAAAAACAAAATTGAGAAGTAAACATAAAAGAAGTACATTTTGTAGGTAAACAAAATAAAGGTAAAATTTATAAAAAATTCGAATAACAACAAACGATTACGTAAGCAGACAAGCTAATCAATAAATTGGTGAAAATAAAAATAATACATAATTGTTTTTTTTGTATGATGTTGAGAAACACTATTACAGTTAATCAATGTACAAAAGAGTTCATCACACTTTTATTCAGCATAGATATATGTGTTCAATTGTAATACTGATACATAAACTTCTTGTACGTGCCCTCAAACTAGTTATTGAATGAGAAGGAAGCATTTTATTGACCAATAGAATCGAATAATAACTGCGCTTATATATATATATGACTCCTAGAAATTTAAGCTTCAGTTTCCCTTCAACAGGGTGTCCTAATCCCTAGAAAATCAACCCAAATCATGACCGATTGCATGAGCTTATCATTTGTCTGATGTATGGTTAGTCTTACTGTATCATCTTACCCTTTTGAAAAAGAATTTAGTCTGACTTTTCGTATTCATTTATAGGCTTAAAATGAGGGATACATCAATAGGTCAGATCAATATTAATTAATGGCTGAGAAGTTCCATACTAGGATGAAACGTCCATCCAGTACTTCCAGGTTTTTAATGGTGATCTAACATTGATCGATTCATGATCTTAATCATAATGGGAATAAGTTATGGGAAATATGGTGGTTTTTGTTTTTTTTAAACATACTTGTTTATATGTCTCATGACAGTCGTCATATTGCTTTTATAAAAATTGACTAAAATGATAACTTATCCAGTTGAACTGATGATTTTACTCATTGGGACTGTTTCAAGATTTCATCTGAATGAATTTTAAAACATTTAGCTAATCATAATCAACATAAAGCCTAGTACAAATGTGTATTAACCCAAGTTGTCATACCAATTTCAACACAAAAAGATTAAATTAACAAGACAGTTGGAACAATAGTAGTTATTAGTACTAGTATAAAAGAGTAAACACTGAAGAATATCATACAAAATGGAGGCATAAATTCGAGGAATTAAACATGTGTAATATAATTGAATCTTCAAGCTATGAGGAAGATAAAAAGTAAATGCGGTCGCAATATGAAGATTGAATCTAAGTCATGTTGCCAAGTTCCCTTGATCAGGTGATCTGTACCTATTAATATTGACTTATTTCCGTAGTCAGTAATTTCAAAAATTGTGCATATGTCTTGATTTACCTGTCTCCAGTTCTGTTCTAACTAATATTATTCGTCAAGATCACCAGTGTTTGGGGATATGCAACACATGCTGTAGCCTCCCAGGTCGATAAAAATTCACTGCATCATCAACTTAATCACCATCTCTGCCCAGTACCATTCAGTAATAACACCATGTTAGTAATGCAAGGGTTCGGTGACGTGTGTTTGATCATAGTGACCATTATTTCATTGTTCCGGAGACTGTCACATCGGCCCTTATTTATCGACTCTGAGACTAGCAGTAAAAAGTGGAGAGATGGTTAGTTCATAACTTGGCACCGGGTTATTAAAGAAAGCTGTAAAGAACTGGTATTTGTCGGTCCTTCATGACTCCCTGATTGGGATCCTAGAAATAGTACAACTCACAAACTTAAGATGTTATCAGACATCGCTTAGAATAAAAACCAATAGCAGCTATATTGTAATTTGTTTTAGTTTCTTTCAAAAGTGAGAGGAACTTCTGTATATAAAACTATTCTTTCTAGTTGTATTTTTTCCTAATTAAACTGCTTATCCCACTTTTCTTTTAAAAAAACTCATTCACATATCTGTATTCATTTATTAAAATTTCTCTGTATCTTCATGTTATGCCCCAATAAGAATAATGAATGGTAATTTTTGGGATCCATTTGTTGTGGACCAATACCATACGTATATTTTTTATCGTATAATTGTTAATTAACTAAACTGTTCATATTCATGTCTCTCTTATCATAAGCTTTATTTTAACCTATGAACTATTATTATACGATTTACCATTCTTGAATTATGCCTTGTCTATTAATCACTGCCTCCCTCATTCACAGCCACATTTGGCTAATTCTTGTACAAATGTTGTTTCATATTTTATTAGTACGTTGTGGTCTGTTTAATTGGTATATAAACTCAGTATGTTTGAAATATAATGATTCATATTACAGAGGCTGAGATTGGTGTTGTGAACTTAACTGACTAGGCTAGACGGAAAGCAGTACTAATCAGAAATCTAGGTTGCTCATACGGGCTTACGCGTCATTCATCCGATCGATAAGCCACTGCCCTCTAATCAGTGGTCACAAGATATACCACTTCATAATCTCATTTTCTTACTGTGTGTCTCATATATAATATGATGCCTCTGTTTACTAATATTTATACATCTAAACAAATAATAAATTAGATCTAACTGAATTATCACATCCGAGTCAAAGAACTCTACTTCATCAAAACTTTTATAAATCAAACTTAATTTTACCGTAACAGATATTACACAATGAACCAATACTGATATGGTCGAATTCAACTTTCATTTGGATAATAATATATTTTTTTTCTTTAACATTAATGATTGTTTTATGTGTAAGTCTACTTATTGTCTTCTTTCTGTTTTTTTTTTCTTGTTGTTGTTGTTGTTGTTGTTTATTTTAGTTTCTATCTATGGATGAAGATTTACATGTTGAGCATCGTTTTCAATCTCCACGTATGCATAAATTTACATTGAAACATTATAGTGTTTTTAAAGCTGTTTGGGATTGGATTATATTAGCACTTATTATCTATACAGCTATTTTTACTCCATATGTAACTGTTTTTCTCATGAATACAGGAAATAAATATGCAAAATTAATTTCAGTAAGTTTTTCTTGGTAAAGTTTTAAAAAAGTTTTATACTCTTCCCCCCTTCCCCCCCTCTCTGTCTTCCCCTTTCTCCTTAGTTTTCAAGTTAAGAATTTATTCAAGATATTAATTAAAATATTTCAATTTAGTGCTAACCACCTTTCTTTTCACAAGTTTGTTAAATGATTAATTAAACCAAGTACAGTTTTATGTATTTGGCTATAAGTTACACTATTCGAATTTTAAGGCCAATGATACTGTAGTGAATGAAAATCTAGCTGGAGAAGACAAATTTATTGTTTAGTACTTTTGTAGAATATGAAAACCATACATTCAATACATCATTTGCATATCTTCCATTAGTTGTCATTTAAATACTTCATAATTCTTTCAATTCTGCTGTTATTACGACTACTCTCTGTTTCTCTTTCTGTTCTCTTCAATTGAATCTCCTCAATATTCTGCTAACACGCATTCCATTTCTGATTGGTGTTATATATTATTTGTGTCTGTCAACATAAGTAGCATACATCATAATTCTATCCAGATATTTAAATCGAACTAGGTCTAGTAGGAAGGATAGATAATGACTAGCAGTGCAATTCAGGACGAGCGTTTCGTCCCATTTGGGACTCGTACCCTCAGATGCCAACGCGCATGTAGGCACTATCAGGGAAGTCCTACTTATTAACCTCTCGCGTAGGGGTGTTGTTTATGGCTTTAACCGGGTTAGTGGATACTGAGGATCCAACTAGGGGAGTTAGAAAACCCTGATCCCAAATTAATGGTGCATATGGGCTCCGAAATCCTGTGGAAACAAATGGCGTATGAACCTATTGTTGGTCACTGGCTATCATAGGACTGCATCTTCTTACGTTGATCCACTGCCTTGTGGATTAAACTTCTAGGTCAAAGCCTCCTGGTGTGGCCTTCTAAGAAAAACACCTGCTTCGGTAGTATTCGAGCCCGCACACAAATCGAATGATAAAGTATGGAGCATATATATCTGGTGCCTCGTTGCACCAATATTTATGTGTTCGAATAGATAAATAAATAAATACAGTTTGTATCCCTATTCTTATTATTAAGGTTTTGGTTACGTTTCTGAATATTTATCTAAACTCCACAAACTAAGGTATTCTAAACAATTGTTAGCAATGATATTTATATTAATAATTGTTATTTCAAGTTGTATGCAGCTGATGAATTCATTTTATTCTGCAAACTTTGTTGTTCTCTCTTCCTGTATATTTTTATCAAGGGATCGAGTTGTTTGAAACTTACCAATTATTATTAATCGAATACATTAAAATGTACTTTCTCGATGCCTAAATTATGGTCGTCAAGGTCAATTCTTATAACATGTCTCGAATAACATCATCTTATAGTTTCATTGGTATTATTTTCTGTAGAATACTCAGTATTCTTAGGTGTTTGCCTTGTTCGTAGAGGCTTTATATATATATATTCCCTTGTGGTCTTTATCACTGAAATTATACAGTCAATCATTCAATACTGACTGAGTATTCCTTTGGTTTCATAATTCTGTCTATAAAAGAACATGTATAAGTCCTACATTTGGTGCAATATGTTAGACAACATTATAGGACTGAAGTATGCATACACGCATGTATGTACATTGATGTGTATGCACATGTGCATCTACCTGTTGCTATCGATCGCTGTTCGTTTAATTTTGTGTGTTTCGCACTTCTTATTACGCTTATATAAGTAGTATTATCCTTGTTCCTAATATTAGAAGCTATATTTCAGCCTACTTTAATTTATTATCTATCTATCTATCTATCGCTGTTTTGTTATTATTAAAATAGGTTATAATGCATAGTTTTTATTTACCGTCTTATCCTCTTTCTTCCTTGAATGGGTTCTATTTAATATGAATTGATAGTGTTAGTTCGTGCACGGCAATTATATCGTTACTATTACTATTATTATTATTATTGTTATTATTATGAATGATAGTACTAATAAGATGTGCCTAATTTTGTTATGTTTAATGCTTGCTAGCAGGCATTAATAAAACAGCTGTGATTATAATAAGGCCATTTTACACAGATGCGTCTTTTTTGCTCTTATATTCCTTTCACAGACTTATAGACATACTCGTTCTCTCTCTCTCACACACACACATGGGTTTTATATAATTGATAAATTATCAAGAACTAATGACATTTGTATTTATTAAGCAGTTATATATAACCATTAGCATGCAAGTTTAGATTCTACTCCACTTGATTCGTTATCACTAGCAATCTCATATAAAAAAGTAAGGTTTTGAACTAGATTAATACTTGATTGTTAGAGGTTGATCACTGCCAAGAAAATCATTTTAAGTGACTCCAAATGCCTTGGTACGGCTAAGGGTGGGGAGAGTCCGTTGTCCCTCTCGAAATGTTGTCATATGGCTACGTGTATATAGCCACTTACAGGAAAGTTCTATTCACTGCCTTCTCGTGGCAGATGATGTATGAACTCATTCTTGCTCACCGACTACCATGGGACTGCATCTCTTAAAGCTACTCTATTACCTTGTGGATTAGACCTTTGGCTAAAAGGCTCGGGGAGTCGGTCCCTAAGAAAACTACCTGCTTCGATTTGGGCACTCTGGTAGTATCCTAGACTACACATAAATTTAATGATTTATTGTGTGCTGCATTTATATTTTGGTGCCTCCTTGTATCGATTTTTATGTGTTGAAATAAATAGTAGTGTTCAAAGCATTGAATGCTTAGTATTTTATCCTAGCATCAGTATAAAGCATAATCATTGAGACAAATGAAATAAAACTCCATACATTTGACCATAAATATCTTCAACACATCACTCGCACGTAAATGGGACGCTTTAAATGAATAATTTTCCGTCTGGGATTTGCGAATAATGGTATTATCGTTTACTATGCTTAATGATACAGTTCATGAAATCCAAAGAAAAACTGTAATTCGTAAGTGTATACAAAGATTCTTTGCTAGGAAATGTCAAGAAGTATGAAAATGATGTCAAAATCTCTCTGTTATATTATCCAATCCACCAACTTTAACCCTATCTTTATTACAATACTAATATTCATCGAATCATTGTACTAATTGAAATTTTCAATAATGAGTCAGAATCGAATAACTTACATGTTGCGTAGATTAACAAAACCAGACTGAAAGAAGGTTGTTTGATGTAGCGTACTTTTTTATGTCCAGGTTTTGATCAACACTAATTGATTACCTCCGAAACTCTTATACAGACAGTGTAGTGTTTTGAACTCATTACCTATTAGTTGGTAGGTCGGATTATTTAACGATTAAATTATTGTGTAAAAAAACGGAATAATAGAATCAATAACTTATAGGTTGTATTCATCACAAATGGACTTCGGTTGGAGCACCATTAAGAACTGAAGAGCACTGCACAATTGTGTTGGGACTCTTTAAAGGTGGGCGCCCACGACCACGCTGAGGGTCGAACTCAAGATCTTTCGACCTCGTAGTGAGCACTCAAGCATTAAAACTACTGGATTGGAGTTCTATGGTAGTATTTCAAAATCTTTCCAACTAAACCAATATTATTTGTTCATAAAGCGATTAAATATTCATTTTAAACTTAGATGATCCGAATCCTCCTTAGTTGGAAACTAGAAGATCTATGGATCGAAACACAGTCATTAACTATGTATTCTTTCTAATCAGTGGGAAGAAATCAGAATTCAAAGTTACTAATAAGAAGTTTTAATAGTGAAATTCCTAACCATAATTGTCTTCGATGATGACTTTACTGATTTGAAATACTTTGTTTTCAACTATTTTGTTGGAAATTCAGGTATTGGACTCAGTTGTTTTTTAGCAGCTGGGTGGTATCACTACCCGTCACATAGAAAAGTGCAGCTCAAAACCGATTTAATGAATGAGTTACATCATCGATATCAAGCGTTAAACAGTATTTCATCAATGCTACTGAATAATAGTCACGTCTTATCATAAATTAAATGTTTACTAACTTTTCGGTAACTATCACTCTTGTATCATGATTATTAAACGTTTGAATTATCCCATAGAACAAATTAGTGTTTTTCCATACTCACTAGTAATATCTTAGAGGATAACGCATTGGCGTCTCAAATGAAAAGTATTGGGTTCGAATCCCCATTATTGTCAAGATCAACACGGAAATAAAGTCACATCATAAACCTATTAGTTCTGAATTGAACAAAATGTTACTAGCCACAATTCATCCATATCACACTGTATTCCTAATATATATATATATATATATATATATATATATATATATATATATATATATATATATATATATATATATATATAATTTTATTATTTGAACACATATATATTGGTACAGGAGTGCGCCAAACATATATGCGCCACACGATTTCAGTTCATTAATTGCGTGTGGGCTGCGTTACTGCCCAGGTGCCCAGACCGAAGCAGGTGGTTCTCTTAGGAGGCCACACCCCGAGCCTTTGACCTAAAGGTCTAACCCACAAGGCAATGGAGCATCGTAAAGAGATGCAGTCCCATGGTAGCCGGTGACCGAAAATTGGTTCATACGCCATTTGTTCCCGCAGGATACTGGAGCCCATGTGCACCATTGGTTTGGAATCCGGTTAAAGCGCCGGACATTCGCTTTTCGTCCTCTCATTTTCGTAAACAACAGTACTGCCACGAGAAGGCAGTGAGTAGGACTTCCATGGCAGAGGCTGTATACGCGCGGCCGTGTGAGAGTATTTCGAGAGGAAGGGCGAACCCACCCCACTCTCGGCCATACCAGGGCGTTTGGGGGCTATATAGTTACTGTCCATGTTCAGTCACATTTAACAATATATAAAGTTATTATGTAATCATGTATGATGTACTATGTATCATTGTATTGATCAGTTATTATTTTTCTTAATTATTCATGATGATAATTATGTGATAACAGGCAACACTTTCAATAGTTTCTTGTGTTCAACAATTTGTACAATGTGTAATTTCTTTCTTCACTTGTTATTTTTCAACAACAAAAAAAAGAAAAGAAAACATACACACAGAGGCAAAATAGGAACTTTCAAAACATCATCCGATAAAATAAGATGACATTGTTCAGTATTCAGTTATTCCTTTTTTTTTCTCTTTAAAGTATGTAAGTTAACAAGGCGAAAAATAAGATCATATGTTTTAACTAATTGGGAATTCTCAGTATTACACAAGACCAACATCAAAGTGTATTTGTGTGTGTGTGTGTGTGTGTGTGTGTAATGTAGTGATAGTGTAGGCGTGATTAAAGCAAATGAAATAATGTTTGTCATTGGGTACACTATGGAAAAGTATGCTTTTTTCTCTTTTTCTTCTTCTTCTTCTTCTTCTTTAGATTAGAAGTGATAATTTCACAAAATCTAATTTTGGACAAATTGAAATAAGAGAGAGAATAATGTATCATTCTATTAAAAAATTTCTCATTAGTTAGCAATGATAAAATTGTTTTAAAATTACAATGAATATACAATGATTTGAGAAGTAAATAAAGTTGAAATGAATTTTTAGAATAAGACATAAAATCATACGTTATATGTGTGATTATTCCATGAAGTCAATGACAAGTGGACTCAGCTATGTTGGTAGGTGTAGACTACCTGGTTGGGGACCACGAGATGATAGCAACCGATGGTTAGAGACCCTGAATGATATGGCTCAAAATCGTTTGCAAAGGCACAGGTGCATCCACTCTTTGTGTTTTCCCAAATCTAATCTTCTGAATTCTTCATGCCCCTATTTATTCTCTTTCCAAATTTATTTCATTGGATTATACTCATTGAATAACATCTTCAAACCCTAATCTTTTCGATTACTGTTTATACTTTTACTACCTCTACCACTATGGGATTTAAATCGACAATTGTATCTGTGTGCTAATGTGGTATAGGAACTCGAACTAATGTACGTACGTACGAAGTTCTACGTTGTTATTGACTGGCTGACTATGTAATCATTGGATAGTAACGAGTGCTATATCGTCCCTAATCTTTAGTGTTTAATTAGTTTTATCTATCAGTCTACACTGATATTAATAAAATAAAAGCTCATTTGTCGCTTCAATGAGAATGTATTTGTTTGTTTCCTTGTTTGTGTGGGTGTTGAATTCTTAGCGAGCTAAGTTGTTTCATTTCTAAACTTTTATTATCTGTACTAAATGATTTTCATTTGATGTATGTACTAATTTTTAGTTTTATTTAGAACCATGATATAGATTTCTCAATTTAAACTATCTAGTTTAGTAAATGTAACATTGTCAGATTAGTTAGTTGTAATTTGCGTAGGATCTCTGACACAGATGTGTATCAGTCTCAAGTTGTTACATCATAACAGCAATAATGTGAACAGCAAATTAATCGGAATAGTAATCATAATAATAGTAATAATAACAAGAACTAATTATGCCTTGTAACATCAACCATTGATTCTAGTTATTATGACTTCAATTTCGAAATGCTCATTTAAGAGAATCATTAACTTATTGTGTCCATTATTGATAAATCCGTTTACGATAAAAGAAACACATTAATATAGCAACTAAATATGCTGACACTAAATGATTTATACAGTTTCTTTCTCCTTCCAGTCTGACTAATGAAAACACGAGAAAAGCCATCAGATTTAATCTTTACTATTGTATTATTTTACTATTCAAAAACTCATATAGTAATATACATTAAGTAGAAAACACCACAACAACAAAACTAAGTAATAATGTGGTGCATGCTACTTATGCTGACTGATATAAGTAGTTTCTAACAGCTATCGGAAGTGGAATCCCTGCCAGTGGAGGATTGAATTGAAGAGACCATTTTAGGATATAGAGAGCAATTATAATAAAAATAAAATTAAAATAACTATACGACACATACAAGACAACGGATTGAAGATGTTCAAATAATGTATTTAATATATGATTTTTCACTTAATAATAAATTGGTTTTTCGCATCTGAGTTTTCGTTCACTACAATGGGTTCATAATTAATTAACCGTAGTTTATAAGCAGTAGAAAGTCTATTAACAGATAAATAATTTCAACAGTTGAGATCATGAGTCAATTGAAGCTAGACCACCATGGAAAACCTGGAAGCACTGGACGGCCGTTTCGTCCTAGTGCTTCCAGGTTTTCCATGGTGTTACTTCATGACTCATGATCTCAACTGTTGAAATTAATACAATCTCCATAAAACCCCTTCAGATAAATAATTGACTGAAAACTTGCCTTTAGGTCGATATATGTATATACATGAAGTAATCCGCTTTAGAGTAATAGTTCTCAACAATCCTCTTTTTTTTATCTATATCTAACGCAACAATTACTAGCAGAGATGGATGGTGGTTAGTAGTGGAACTCAGGATGCATGTTTCGTTTTATTTAAATTCGTCAACTGGGTTTATCTGCATTTTGGATTAGATGTTCACTCCGGGAGTCGAACGCCGTACTGTTCGCTCAAAACGCCAATGGCTTTTCCGATGAAGTGAAGTGTAATTAATTCTTGTATTGGTCATTTGATTCTTCCCATTAACTTGTCTGTTATAGTGCTTAATATCAATGGGAAGATTCAAACAACTAATGGAAATTAGTTACAACAATTATCGTGTGAACGAAGCCCCAGATTTTGTGCATATTGTTATTATTGTTATTCAACCATTTTCTCTAAAAATTTACCTTATCTCTCGTTTGTTATTTTTTTAACTTTTAAGTCAGGAAACATAACAACGACAACACCACCGACAGCGATCACTTTTGATATAAATCGTACACAGAATGAATCTTCAACAAATAATCATTCTGAATCATCAGATATTCTTCATACTACCCACCCATCAATCACTACCTCTTCATCGTCACCAACATTATTATCTACAGTGGACATCTTAGTTGATGTCATGTTCATCATTGATATTTTAATTAATTTTCGTACAACTTATGTGAATAAAAATGATGAAGTTGTCTCACATCCAAAACGTATAGCTGCTCATTATATTAAAGGCTGGTTTATTATTGATCTGGTAGCGGCGATCCCATTCGATTTGTTATTTTTTCGTACAGCTGGAGATCAAGTAAGTCAGCGGAAAAAAATTAATAAATTATTTGTATGTGTATGTGCACGCCTTTTTGCTTTACTATTAATTGTGATCATGTTATTTTAGTACGTTTTTACTAATTCGTCCTAGTCTTTAATTCTGATACTGACTAGATCCTAACATTGATCTTGACTTTTCTGTGGATCATCTTCTGCTGCATAATTTACATATTTGTTCTTTTTTTTTTCAACTTGTGTGTTGTGGTAGCTAAATTGACTTGGTAAAAATTAATAGAATAAGTTCAGCGATAAAGTGAATCTCAAACAGATAGATTTCTAAAGATATATTAACACTAAACTAATCCCTTAGATTAGGCGCCACATTACAACTTGATCTATAGAATTCTGTTAGCATTAACAGATTAGGTCAAAATGACATTGATAACTACTCGATAATCAAGTAATTATAAATGTATCTCAATCCCACAGAATTTCAGTTGTAGCCGAACCAGATCAATGGTAATATCTCTAAATGTGAGGCTAGGTAATATGGATCTGAATCTGACAAGGAGCATTAGTCTCTTGAAGATCCCAGGTAGACCTGGCTGTTGATTGTCCAGAGTTTATTGTTGATTACTTCTAACCAACTATCACTAACCGACTAGGTATATAATTATGTATATTAAGACATGAATATTATTGTTTTGTTAAAACAGTGTGATTATGAACTACTCTTCTATAAATTAATAGATAAAATTATCAAATGTTGTAACCTAATCAGAAGATGATTTGAATCGGATATCACACAGATGGAAACTTGTCGAATAATTCCATTGCTATTGTTATAGTTTAGAACTTGATAACTGAATGAATTTTGAGTTATTAAAATGAATGTGTAAAATAACAATCGATAGCAAGTTTTTAATGATACAATGTGACTGAGTGATAATTACTCTCGAGATCGGATTATTATAAAGTAACCTCTTAATAAACTGATATTAGAAGATATGACATTTACCCAGGAAAAGAGGTTTATCATGTCATGAAATCATATGCTGTTATACAAAAATATTAACACAAAATCAATATGATCAGATGTTATTTTTTAATGAATTAAAGCTTTGTCCATCTCACTGTTAAGGCTGTTGAATAATGGTTACAGGTAATAATTTATTAGTGTAACTCTACCAACTATTTGAAACTGTCGATAGTGATTTCAAATAGAAGTTAATGTAGAAAATTGATACTTCTTTGTTAAATAATTAAAATACTCAAGTTGAACGTTCATGCATTTTGCCCCAAATACCCTGGTACGACCGAGGATAGGAAGAGTCAGCTTTCCCTCTCGAAATGCCTTCAAATACGTATACAGCGTATACAGCACTGTCAGAGAACCACCATTCACTACCTTCTCGCGGAATGGGCGTTGTTAACGAAATTAAGAGGACGAAAAGTGAATGTTAGACGCTCTAACTGGGTTTGTGTATATGGAGGATCCAGCTAGGGGAGTTAGAAAACCCTGATTCCAAACAAATGGTGCACATAAGCTCCAGGATTCTGAGGGAACAAAAGGTGTGTGAACCTATTGTTTATCACCGGCTATCATGGGACTGCATCTCCTAATGTCACTCCACTAACTACCCTGTGGATTAGATTTCTGGGTGGAAAGCTTGGGGAATGGCCTAGGAAAACCATCTGCTTCTGCTTTGGCGCTCAGGCAGTATCTCAGCCCTCAGACAAACCGAATGATTTGCGTGGAGCATATAAATAAATAAATAACTTTACGAATTCGAATAAAGTCAAAATAACTATTGAGGCCATATAATATGCAAAACTACGAAGTATAGTAAATTCGTGGGATATTCTACCTCAATTGTTATTCCAGCTTTGTTCGAACACTTCATTTTCTATGTGTGTTTTTGTGCGTTAACAAACTTTCATGGTTAAGTTTTAAACATAATAACAAACCCATTGTTATAGCGCTAACTTAGATTGCAGACTCAGAACCTAAGTCTACTTACTTTGATTTAAGCAGTTAGTACTATTTATCTCCCAATTCTGCCCCCAAATGCCCTGATACGACCGAGAGTGGGGAGAGTTCGCTCTCCCTCTCCAAATGCTCTCACATGCCAACGCGTATATAGCCTCTCCCAGGGATGTCCTACTCACTACCTTCTCCTGACGGGGTCGTTGTTTACGAAATCGAGAGGACGAAAAGCGAATGTCCGGCGCTTTAACCGGGTTGTTGGACATGGAGAGTCCACCTAGGGGAGTTGGAAAACCCTCATTCCAAACCAATGATGCACATGGGCTCCAGTATCCTGATGGAATAAATGGCGTATGAACCAATCGTTTGTCACCGACTACCATGAGACTGTATCTCCTTATGATGCTCCACTGCATTTTGGATCAGACCTTCAGGTCGAAGGCTCCGGATATGGCCTTCTAAGAAAACCACCTGTTTCTGTTTGGGCACCCGGACAGTATCACAGCCCTCACACATATCGAATAAGATTTGTGTGGCGCATATGTATTTGGTGCCTACTTGTACCAATATCTATGTGTTAAAATAAATTCACTAACTATCATATAAACTATTTAATCAATTACATAAACCCAAACTTGATAAATGAGTTACATAAACCAACTCAGAATTTCATCTTAATCATCATTCTTCATTTAACTTAATCTATTAAAGAGAGAATTAAATTTGTTTGTTTTAATAGAGAATAAACTGAAATAAGTATAAAATATTAATCCAAGTCAGGAAATTAATTTTAATGGTTTATGGAAGTGTATGCAAAGGAAAAAAAAGGAAGTGTATGCAATTTTTAGTTTAAAACAAATAAAGAATTTAAGTTCTTAAAATAATTTGGGATAAGTAATTATTTTCAGAGAATCTGCCAACTTCGTTTCTTTCTCCCACCCCACTCCCACCCCCTCTGCCACACACACACATCAAGTGTAACAAAATGATAAGATTAAAATTCCATTTCTAAATGTTACCACTCCCGTTGAACTACATTCAATATAGTGCTTAGTTATGAGTATTGTTGAGATGAACTCAATAACCTATCTATGTAGAATTTAGATTTTAAGCTTATCTTTTATTATTCAACTAAAATGGTATCTGCCAATCCTCAATAAACTAAACGTTATCATGAACACAGTCGATGAATTTCAAATGAGATTGGTAATAAAGACAGTAAATAGAATTTCCAGTTTAGACTTTTAGCAACACTTCAGATATTCAGTTGTTGAGCATTAAAATCCAGATATAGAACTCATTTCGCTTGCTTCTTTGTCTGAAATTGAACTACATGATCATTTATACTTAGTTGCCGAGATGTACGATGTTGTTATGGAAATCCCACCCATGTATTGGTAGCTGAATAAATCTTTGGATAGATTTGAAAAGTTTACTTCGTATGTGAATTTATTCATCGTTGTCTTATCTGTAATGTTTAATACAGACTACCTGATGTGGATTTCCACGGGATGATCGTTACCACTAGGTAATGTGAGATATTGGATGATTATACAGTTCATAACTGTTTGAAATTGCTCATATATTTATCCTTTTTCAACGCTTAAATCTCAATATTATTTCATAAAATCATTCTGTAACTATGTAGCGACCAATGTCAGTTGTACCTAATCTTATAGTCCTGATCGAATTCTATCAATCGAATAACAATTCATTAATTGGTTTGACTGACTCGATATTGCATGCATTATGTCGACATTTCAATTGATTGGAGGTAGTTGGAAGAAAACCCTGTTTTTTGCTTGTTGACACTTATCAACAAGGCATAACTGTAATACTGGTGGAATAGATGCTGTCTGTTAGATTCAAACTCAGGACACTCAGCTTCATAGTCTGAGATTTTATACCACTGAGCTATTCGCATCTTGATTAACATTCTGTATTAGGATCTTTTGCCGACTTCTTCGAACCATCTACGATCTCACATGTGAACGTCTGACCTATCACTAGCACTCAACGGTGTTGATATCTGACTTAAATCAATCCATAATATCATACAACTATTAATATAATGTTGAACATTATCTAACACTAAACAGTAAAGTTTGGACTGAATTTTCCTCCTTGTTTTAAAAGTTAATTCTTTAAGATGGTAGTTTTAGAATATTTAAGTTGATAACATTACTACATTGTACAACAACAAAAGATTTAAGGTGTTTAGAAGGAAAAAAGACATATGATTTAGACTCACTAAATTATGATAACAATTTATTTTTATTTATTTAAACACATAAACATTAGTACAAGGAGGCATCAAACAGATATGCGCCACATAAATTATTGGATTTATTTGAGGACTGGGATACTGCCCGGGTGCCCAAACCGAAGCAGTTGGTTTTATTAGGGGGCCGCACCCGGAGCCTTAGACCTAAAGGTCTGATCCAAAAGGCAGTGGAGCGTCATAAGGAGATGCAGTCTCATGGTAGTCGGTGACAAACGATTGGTTCATACGCCATTTATTCCATCAGGATACTGGAGCCCATGTGCATCATTGGTTTGGAATGAGGGTTTTCCAACTCCCCTAGGTGGACTCTCCATGTCCAACAACCCGGTTAAAGCGCCGGACATTCGCTTTTCGTCCTCTCGATTTCGTAAACAACGACCCCGTCAGGAGAAGGTAGTGAGTAGGACATCCCTGGGAGAGGCTATATACGCGTTGGCATGTGAGAGCATTTGGAGAGGGAGAGCGGACTCTCCCCCCTTTCGACCGTACCAGGGTATTTGAAGACATGATAACAATTAAGGGATCAGAAATGTCTAAATCGCTTTTTGATACCAAAGTAGTTGAATGTTAAACATTGACTTGTTTTAAAATACATGAACTCTTTAAATTGTCATGGTTTCTGAGAATTTCTGCCAATAATAAATGCACATTTAACGGAAAAAAAATATGGCCTAAAATTTTAAGCAAACCATCAGTATATTTTTACATACAGAGAATTCTCCTAAACGTTATTGAATTCTTTTTTTTCCATTTTTTTTGTGATATGAATATATGTTGATTTTGTATTGTTTGTTTGAAATATCCCACTGGTGTTTAGGACTGCCATTGATCAGTCTCTTATTGGCACGTGTGTATCCTGTGCGGATTGTTCTGATATTGCCTTAAGTCACAAGGTTTTATTAAATTGGATGGATGGTGGCTAGCAGTGGAATCCAGAATGCGCGTTTCATATACCTACATCCCAGCTGACGAGTCCTCAATAGGATAGAATGCACGTCCTGAATTCCACTGCTAGCAACCACCCATTTTTGATAGTATTATATGATTTCTAAAGAAATTTATTTAGTTCTTTTTCGTTAATGATACTCAATATTGTAATCTATTACACTGTTAACTACTTCGCCCTATTATAATAAACTGCTTAAACGTTTTTACATTGATATATTTGTAGAAATCAAAGAGTAGATATCTATACTAGTGTATATTTATGCCCATTAATGGATGTATATATATGTCATTGGTAAATGATGACACTATATTACTAAGAGGGATAATCATAACGATCATAAATATGAAAAACAATGTATAATGAAGTCATTAAATTCTCTTCTCAAACAAGCATTTGTTTCTTTTTTTTTCTCAAATGAGAAGGAAAACGCCCAAACATATATCTATATGTTTCGAAAGATCAATTCATTTAGGTATACATATTCCATTTAGGGACTGACTTACCTTCTTCAAACGCTCAAAAGAAATCATCATTATCATAAACAACAACAGAGATATTCACGTACGTACGTATATGCACATATACATAAACATAAATAAACAAAATAATCTGACAACACTCAAACACATCGAAAAGAACAATTAAATCTCGAGTAAAATATGAGAAATCAAATAGTTAATAACTGAGTAACAACAACATCATCAATAGAAAGGTTATTTCTCTTTTTTTTGTTTCAATAACGATTCATTTATACTGTTGAACATGAAAAAAATGTGTATGTATATGATAGACAAGTAGTAAACAAAATGGTAGTAACACTACTACTATTACTGTACTAAATGAAGACTTTAGTGAAGTAAACCAATTTGAGATGGTGGAGAAGATTTGTAGCTCAGGTGATTTGTTTTATATACAAAATCAAACAATACCTTTGTAAATTATGAAAATCACATAATTAATACATCGTATGCATATCATTCTTTAGTTGTCCTTTACATACTTAATTGTGTTGTTATTCCGAATACTTTTCATTTTCTTTCCTCTTCTTTCTAGTTCACTCTTTTCCTGGTAAACATTCTACTTCCGATTGCTACTACATACTACTTATGTCTGTATGCATCATTAGTATACACTATAATATCTATTGGTCATAGGCGGTTAATTTTATAATATTGAATATCTTTGTTTATTCATTAAATGATTGGCTAATTACTGTCACGTATTAAAATTAATGTATACAAATCTATCTATTAATCAGTGTTCAGATATTTAGTTCGGGTATCAAATAAACTGTCTCATCTAACATTTTCACATTCTTACTCATGGTGTCCAATTCACAATTTCCCTGTTAAAGTACCAAAATATACCCGACCGTTGTTGCTACCTTGACGTGGTGATCGGGCTTGCCTATCGTGATGAAGCAACCGAGCTATACTGGCTGGAACAACCGTTCCTCAAGGTCCTACCATGTCAGACAGGTCGGTTGAAGAGCGGTAAGACTAAAAGCAACAAACCCAAGGTCCGAAGGCGAAGTCGTACTGCTGACTGTACAGAGGTGTGACAGCAGTAAGGTGTTTCCTTCAGACAACCAGCATGACAGCGATGCTGCCTTCCCACAAGGAGGGGTGGGGTTAGAAAAGGTCGACCCTAAAAATGCACACCTCGCCTTATCCCACGGATATCCGTCTCCGGCGGTAAGGTCTCAATAAGTACGGAGCTAACACAAAAATTACCCATAACAAGGTCGTGTGTGACCGACCTCAAGCATTTGTCCCTTGGGCACTGCGGTCACGCTCTCAGGTCACTAAGACCACCTTTAATCCAAATTCCTTTTCAGGTACCTCCAGAAGAACCCTTCCACGGTGTGGGCAACCGGGAAGTGAAAACCGCCCTCATACCTCTAACAGCACTCAAGACCACTGTATTCAAGACCACTGACCAAAATATAATCTTAGTTACAACAGAATAACATGTTTTTATTTTGGCAAAGTCAATAAATATTCATTTCTATCAGTTTTCTATGTTATTGCTTCACACTATAGAAATCATAATCATTTCCCATTTTCAAGTATTTAACAATAATAAAGACATATAAGGGCGTATACACAACAATTGTAATCAAATGTGTGATATTTGAATAAAGCGATTAGTATTGTATGTATATTTTTAAGTTTTTATATGTACAATACAATGTAAATTTCTTCGATTAATTGACTCAACACTAATGCTAGTACATAAAAATGATAATGGAGCAATTTACTTGTATTTCTATCTTACACACGCCTGCTATCTCTTGTGGAGGAGCATAGACCACCAACCAGCATTCTCCATCGAACTCTGTTCTGGGAAATCCTTTCTAATTGCTACTGATCCTTTTCATGTCTGCTTTCAGTTCCTGACAAAATGTGTTCCTTGATCTTCGTGTTTTCATTTTCCTCAATGATTACTCAGTCTTAAATACGTGTAAATGTTGCCATCACTATGCATTAGTTTAATGTATCTTGCGTTATATTAATACAATAAATGAAGATACAGCATGTAACGCCTAAATGTGTGGGGAAAAAGGTATTGAGTGCGGGTAAACATTAGCTCTGATATGCAGGTGTATCCAACTGATCAGTCCAAAATAGGACCCACCTTGACTCCTACTGCTAGCCATACTCCATTACTTATGAAATACAGTATTTCTGACAGTCGAATGAGTAATAATGATAAAATGGACATCTGGAATATAATTTTAAAAGAAATAATTAAATAATCGTAATAAAACTCGAGATTTAGTGGAAAGAAATTGACGTATACTTCCACTGATTTTGAGTCAGTGTCATTTTTTAAAGTCACTGATCACAATTACCATGTAGAACTTAGCATCAATACAAAATAATCAAATTCAACAGACAATGATCAGTCAACTCCTAGTCTTGTGCGACAATGTAAAATATTTGTAACCTTTTAGAGGATGTTGGAGATGTATTCTCTGTACGCACAATTGTGGGCAGCAGCCAACTTAATTGCAGGTCAGTTGTGGAGAGATTCTAATAGCTCATTTATCTTTGAAGTATTTACTTACAACGTTCAGAAGGATGATAGAAGCTACACAATTAAGCCATTCAGTTCAGAGAGTACAACACCAGCTACTCCTATGTTATTCACCATTACATGTTGACTTAAGCTGTGAACTTCTAGAAATTTCTAAACAAATATCAAATCGATTCGTTTTAATACCTTTGTTTTCCCATCTGTTAGTTTGATTGGTTGATTTGATACTTTGTTGTCTCTACGCCTTACTGCATAAATGGACTTCAGCTGACATTTTATTCTGGCGAAAATCTCAAGCTCGTGTAACTAGATTGCTATGAACTGATAATTGAGTGGTCAATGTACTCAGTTTTCAGCTAATAGATCTCAAGTTTTAAATCTCGTTTCACCTAATTCAGTTTAGCCAGTTAAGTAAAATAACTTTGCGTTTGTTGTGGATGAGGATTTGATTTGTAAACGAACTTTGAATTATCAAGATGAATGAATAAACGGTAGCTGCTTGGCAAATTCTAGGATACCATATGGCCAAGTGATCAATAAACATGAGATCAGATTATTGCTTGAAAACTACAAACAAAATAAAAGACAAGATAACTATCTGGCAGAATAGGCTTTTTGATCTGATAAAACGACCTGCCTATAGACGAATTATTAACAAAAAATAACCTGATTAGGTGTCATGTTTATTTATTAATTTACTTACCAAGTACATATTCTCATTCTCGGTTATAAGCCACACTCTTAGTACATGGGCTAGTAATACTATTTGTCTGCCTAAACCCGATTTAGGAAGAACTGGGTTCAAACATGCTACTTAGTGGCTAGAAGATAATTGTCTTAACCATACTGTTCTATGTCATAATGGCTCAGTTTTGTAAATCACTCACTTGTCAATGAATTAAGACTTTATTTTTTTTTACCACGTTACATCATTTTCATACGCTGTGTTTCTCAAGCCTGAGTACAAAACTCTATCTGGTAAGTTATACTTTGAAAAAATGTCGTTATCGACTATTTGAGATCTTTAGATTATTTGATATTCAAATAGCTGACTGGTTTCAATCTTGGTGTGTTTATTAGCCTTTACTATAAGTGATTAGCTCTTAATTATGAGATGGTGGAGAAGATTTGTAGCTCAGGTGGATGATTTTCTATCTGAAGTTTGTGCTGATGATGTCGTTCAGAAGAACGATGAAAGCTCCATGACCAAACCATCCAGCTCAGAGAACAAAACTCCACCAAAAGCTCTTAATTATATTTTATTACAATAATTATGTTTTAAAGTTTTATTGTATTTCAATTTTATTTCTATCAAATAAGATACTATAATGAATATCTTTTTATTAATTTTGCATTTTTCATGAACTTCATAGCCTACTGCTCTAACAGGTTTATTAAAATCAGCTCGTCTTTTACGTTTAGTGGGTATCGTACGTAAATTGGATCGATATTCGGAATATGGTGCTTCTATTTTAGTACTATTAACAGCATTATTCGCTTTAATTGCCCATTGGTTAGCGTGTATTTGGTAAGTGGGTTTCTTGCAGATTGTTTTTTCTAAAGACTTATGTCACATTGGTGAATGAATAATTCAGCAGTCGTAAATGAGATGTACTTGCTAAATTGTATTAAACAATGCTAACGATTCGCTAGATTTCGTTGTAGATATTTTTGGTGAATGGTAATTCTTTTACTGATATTCAGTGCTTGCTGGCATTTATTAAAAAGACTATTGTGCAATAAAAACATCAGTTTTATGGGAGTCTGTAGTTGGTCTTGGAGAAATGACCAAGAAAGGACCTGATCATCCTAATGGGAGACCTAGACACCAAAGTCGGGATGGACAACACCGGGTGTGAAAGTACGATGGCGCAACATGAGCTAGAACAAAGAAATCAAAGGATTTGCAAATTCATGTGCTTTCAACAACATGGATATAGGTGACAGTATTTTCTCTAACAAACGCATACACTAAGGTATATTGGTTTCACCGGATCACCCTACACAGAACCTGATCGTTCACATCTACACTAATAAAAAATAGGTATGGAGTTGTCTGAAATAGTTGGAAGCAATCTGTTGACAACTGTCAATCCCAGATTCCTTATAACTTTTCAACAAGGCATACGCAATCTTATGTTATTTAATCCTCTCTTTGATATTTGAATCTGTATCACACTCAGTCATTGTCAGAAGTGTTATTATTTAGTGAGGGCGTTACTAGTTAAGTTTTGTGTGCTACTGATGTCGATAGATCTAAGTAGTATATATCATCAATCGGAAGTGAAATACCTGGCGGCAGAATATTAAGATCGAAGAAAAGAGAACGAGAACAGTGAGTGATTACTGTGGAAACGAAGAAACAATGAAGTCTGCGAAGATTGATTGACATTTTGCAAATGAAGTATTGACTATATGGCTCTCAGATTTTACTAAGACATTCTGTAATTTTATGTTCAAATACATTTGGTTGTCCCCGCTTATGTTCTCGTTCATTACAGTTATTATTTCTGTAAATTATGTGTAAACAACTGTTTGTGAAGTCTCACATTTTCAGTCCAACCAATGGCAAAACTATAATGTTAGTAATCTTATTATTATTATTTGAAGTTGTTTTTACCGGGAATTCGACTTGAGTTTATAGTAATAAAAATTCTATCGATAACTGTGTACATTGTACTAGCAATATATATATAGGGTTAAAATTCATACAGAGAATTTCCTCATAGTGATATTTTGACTATCCTCAGTGGTTATCTGTGATTCTCCAATTGATATAATTTGACATTGTCATTGTTAGTAAAGAGTAGAATGTAATGTCCCTTTCGATGTAAATATCACCGGAAATTAAAAACCAAATTCTTCACAATCATATGGTAATTAATTTCATTGAAATCACGAACTGATTAATGCAAAACCACTGCTACAAACCTAGAAGCACTGAATAATCGTCCCGTCCTAATATAGTCACTCCTCAACAATGTACATCCACAAGTTTGCACATGGGATCGAACACTTAACTTCTGGACCACTGAGCTGTGATCCAATGATGTTAATGTCTAACTTAAATCAATTCACAACTTTGAACACCCATCTTTCATTGTTTTCGATAGATAACTGCCTCATACGCAGTGCACTTTAGCTCCACTTTTCACAGCTTCTCATTAGAACTCTGGGAATTTCCTATCGAAGCCTGTCACTATTGAGCACATGATATTTATCGGTATGGGGTTTTGGAGGTCATTGAATTTCATTGTAAATTAGATCGGTTCATTATTGGAATAAAATCTGACAATCTTCACAACCCGCTGCTGACATAATCAATTTAATTCTTTCTATAATAACCAGAGGACTAAGACGAAATGAATTCAATTTTCGAGCTAATAATCTATACTGATTGTAAACTGAGTACCTGTATTTATAATATACAATTTGTTAAGTATTGTTTAAAATTGCAAAACTTTAGAATTTTAATCCTTTTATATTTCGTTGCATGTAAATGTTGGAGAGTCTCAAAAGTATCCCTCGTCAAAATCTTTAGGGGTCTAGAAAATGAAGAATCACACGTCATGTTATTAGTTGAATAGTTACCTATACCAGTACTATATTTGATTATATTTTCAAAGATTTCTAAGTCCAAGGTCACGCATGACTATAAATACCCTCGATCTTCTGTGTATAAACTAACCTTGGAGTAAAGCTTTTACTTATATTTCACACCTTTTCTCCATTATTCAGATTAACGTGTAGTAGTTTGTGGCTACAGAAGGCGGCTAGGAAGGCAGTAATAAGTGTTTCAGTGGCAGACTTATAATTAAAACACAGGATAACTTCACTATAATATGTATGTATTGCACTTACTCCAAATTATAAAGATTCATTTCAACTCATAATAAAAAATGTAAACAAAATTCCTACGAAACAATCAATTCAAATGATAATCATATGGTGATTATTGATTAGCTTCTGGATGAAATTCTTCAAGTTCTGTGGAGATATCATGAACAGCGTAGCTTGACCATGTTAAAAGTAGGCCAGTTATCATTGATGACAGGAAATTATCGTCGGATTATTTGACGAATTGTTTGGAGTTGTAAAAGTATGAACAATCCGATCTCAACTTAGTTTTCGAAAAGTATCTTACACTTACATTGGATATACCCTTTTGAGAAAAGGGATCAAACGTCTGTCCTACACCCTGTCTTTCAAAGCTATCGTGACCTAAATCAGTCCATTAAAAAACCTCAGTTAAGAGTTAAATTTTCTTTGTATTCAGTAGGATGTTTCTCCTCAACCGATTTCATTAAGAATTTCTAACATATACATAAATGTATATATTATTCATACCGTTATATTAAATCATATTCTCTTTCTTTTCCTCTGTTACATAATTCCTTTTTAATATAGGTATGCTATTGGTAATGCAGAACATTTGTATAGAGATCCCAAAATTGGTTGGTTAGATACATTGGCTATACATACTGAACAATATTACACTGATCAACCGAATTCCGGTCCTGATTTAAAAACAAAATATATCACTGCATTATACTTCACTTTTTCTAGTCTTACATCAATTGGTTTCGGTAATGTCAGTCCTAACACAAATGCTGAAAAAGTATTCTCTATTATAGTAATGTTAGTTGGTTGTAAGTTTCATTTTTCATTTAATGATATACATAAGCTATTATCAGTACATTAAAAGTTTGTTTTCTATTGTTATTAATATTTAAAAATGTAAACCTCTTGGTCTCTGTCGGTGTATGGGCTACTTGAGCCAATACTTCGATATTACTAGCAGCGCAATCTAAGACTCAGTAGCTTGATGATTAATAACGTTAATGTTTCAAGCGGCAAGTACCATGGTTCGAGTCAGAGTGTTATTATCAGATTAGAGAAATACTGCGAGTACTGCATTCAACTGACGAGTCTCAAGTAGGCCGAAACTTGCCTCATTGCTAAGTCATAATCACAACTTAGTTGTGACTTGTGATCCAGTTATCTTCACCTATTTACCCATTTAACAAATATTGATTGATTGATTGGTTTGTTATTTTCTACTGTTTTCTTTTGTGTAGGTCACGTTGTTTACTACTTCACTGTTTCTTTTTCGCTTGTCTACTTTAGTATATATATATATATATATGACCAATTTTCTTTCTGCTTGACCTTTTCTTCACTGTAACATTGTTATATTATGTCAATTTGTTTACTTATTCAACTTAGAAAATAAACAGGGAAGTTTGTTTACCCGAATTTTCTGTTTCCTTACTGTATTACGAATGGTTAAATAAACAGTTGTTCTTACTACCAATGCTAATACTGTTAGCATTATTATTATTGCTATCAGTAGTAGTAATAGTCTTTGTGTGTAAAAGTTTTCTTCAGATTACAGAAATGGATATAATCGATACAATTCTTATCTTTTATTAAATTCGACAAAACTAGCTTTGTGGATTGTATATAACTGATTAGAACGTGAAAAATCATCGTCTGAGATGAACTGAAAAGCACTAAGCAGTAAACAGTTGTTTTGTCAATTGTGTTTATTCAATACTCTACAGAGAATCGTATCTAATTTGCTTAAGTTATATGAATTTTCAGTGTTCATTACAATATTTACCATTGATTAATCACTGAGTAATAACCAATGTCATGTTTGCCACGTCCATCTTAATACTAATCGTATTCTATCGATCGAGTTGCAATGTAGTCATTGGCTCAAGTTACTCGACATCATGACCTTACAAAAGGATACGACATACACGACATTGGTCACTACTCAGTGGTCAGTTGACGGCAAATATGTTTCAGTCCTACAGGAAGCTCAGTGTTACGGGATCGAATCCTCCTCCTTCAGTATCTGTTCTCTCAAGATTATTTGTATAATTTACTGACGAGTGCTGAACAGCACGAGACCTTGGTTGGGCAGAGTATCCTGTCTCCAACAACATTACATCATTACATGTTTGCTCTGAAAACTCTTTTGGTGTAACGAAACATATTATTATAAATAACTTTTAACGCTTTTGACTTCTGAACATCATGTTTACCATTAAGTAACTTATAAGAAATTACAATGTTGAGTACATGTATTGTACTCAGCAGCACGGATAGGAATCTATTTTTCTTAATCTTCCGACGTGACGAGACTATAATTTATGGAAAAAACCAATGAAATTAGGTATAGCAGGTTTTGAATTTCGGCACTAAATTCATTCATCTATATAGTTAAATATTATTTCGGCGTTATAGGTGATTTCAGTTCGTGATGAAAATCTTTACTTTAATTCCTAACAACCCTAAATTCTAATTACTCATACTAATTTGTAACCTTCTTTTGACCCTAGTAAGTAGTTGAATTGTCTCAAAGTCACTTTAGTGTCTTTCAAAGGTCGTTCATAAATTATAGTCTCATCTCCAGTGTGCATATTTGGATATGTACTTAATCGGTAAAGAGAATCAAAGGGAACATGAGACAGGTACATATTCTAACGCACGATCCGTCCGTTCTGAAGGTAGACTGTCATTGCAGATAAATATACTTTTTCTAGGTTATCTATTGTTGGGGACGATAGATCCCCAAAACTCAAATTTTGTAATTTACTTATCGATTAAATGTGCAGATAGGTCAATTGATGAACTATCGATTAAATGTACAAATAGGTCAATTGATGAACTATCGATTAAATGTTCAAATAGCAGTCAATTGTTGATTAATGTTCAAAAATCTTCCATGACAATATCGATTGTAAATATATGTATAAATACGCTTGATTTGTATGCTTGATCTGATCTGCCTGCCTGACTTGTTATCTGCTGTTTGTCTGTAGAATACACTTTCTACACCTTACCCAGACTTTTTGATCGAGTTAGCAGAGTTGGGGACAACGGACCAGAATAGTCTATCGAGATTCTGAATCCTCGATCCGATCGATAAGTCACTGTCATATAATCGGGCTGTCTCTTTGAGCCATAACATCTATCACATTCACAAATCAACCTGTTTAATTTTATTGCGCTTAAAAGTTACATTGTAGGTAAATAAACTTTTTGTCAATCTTAACATACACTCCACTCTTTACATTCTCATCTTCCCATTATTTATTGATGAACTTTTGTAGATAAATGATTATTAATTTTAATAGTTGAATACATAATTTGATGTAAGTTAAACCACCATTGAAAACTCGGAAGCACTCGTAAATTCAACTATTAAAATTACTGCAATCTCCACAAACCCCCATTCTGATAATAATCATCATATGCTCACTAGTGACTGGCTTCAAGATGATTTTCTGGAGTTATAGTGAGAAACCGTTACCAGTTGAGTCCAATCTATGTCGGATAGAGACAGGTATCTACCTCAGACAATGGATGAATGGTTACGCATGACCATAGATTGAAGTTAGACGTCAACACCTTTGGATGCTGGCTCAGTAGTCTAGAGGTTAAGAGTTCGTAAAGTAACAGTAGAGTAAGTGATACAGTTATTGTTATGTCCTTATGGTCCGTTAATTATCTTGTGATAGGATCGCCAATTAGAACACCGCTTTGTTGACCAGTCCACTGACGCATAAACAAGTACGAGCAGCCTATAGTCAACTTTGATTTCCCTTTAGTCCACTGAGATAGTAGCTTCTCTTCTAAATCAGCCGTTTCAGTCCAGAACACCAATATCAGACTCCGCTATATGAATCATGTATTTCAGACATACTGGGTTGATATACAAGCCAAACAGACCACATCACACCATAAAATAGGAAATAACAATTATACAAGGTCAGGCCGAAAGTGCTTACAATTATGAGATACTTTAACTAATAAATTGGGAATAAATTGTATAATAGTACTAAATAAGTTAAATGGAAACTTATAATAAGAGGAATATGAATATACATATAATATAGTTACTTCGTAATTATACAATAACGGTCCATAAATAGATCCTAGCAGTTACCGTCCACTTATTCTTCATCCGGATTTAACAGTTATCAGATACTCCATTTTAAACTTGTCACTTATGAAAATAAAGTACAATTTCTTAGCGCTTTCATTATTAATACAGTTTAGGAAATTGGTCAAAACAATTTTCTAGTGCTATGTAGAGTGTTGTGCACGTTCTTAAATTTTTGCGTCATGAAGCTATGAATGCATAGATTCATACTACTGAAGTGTTCCATGTATATTTACAACTTACTAGTTAATGGTTCATCGTTAAGTCCGAATTTTAAATGTTAGATCTTAATTTGTTTAAGAACACCTATGGATATGTTAAGACTGTGTAAAAGATTTTGTTGTGAAAACAGAACATGATGATTTATAGTAAAAACAAAACATTAGATATCCATGATCAGGTCTGACTTTGAGTCATGTTAGAGGTAAGACAGTGGTTTTCATTTTTCGATTGCTCATATTGCGAAAGAATTCTTCTCGAGGGATCTAAAAATGAAACAGTTGAAGGTGGCTGTTTATAGGACCTACGAGTATGACGGAAAAGCTAGTCATATGTGACCTTCCTACAAGAAGTTCTTCAAATGGTAACTTGAAAGTCATGGGGCGAAATAAAAGGTACTATTTTTTATAGTCGAAATTTTATAACCTTTTCCTTTCGTTGTACAAAGTTGACGTCACTACAGATGTCGGTTGTCTAATAGAAATAAATTACCTTCTTCACCCTACTGTATAGTCAACAGTAGGACTTGGCTCTGTTATGTGCCGATAAGAATAATAAGTGGTAATTTTTGGGATCCATTTGTGGACCAATACTATACGTATCTTTTTAACATATAATTGTTAATTAACTAAACTGTTCATATTCATGTCTCTCTTATCATAAGCTTTATTTTAACCTATGAACTATTATTATACAATTTACCATTCTTGAATTATGGCTTGTCTATTAATCACTGCCTCCCTCATTCACAGCCACATCTGGCTAATTCTTGTACAAATGTTGTTTCATATTTTATTAGTACGTTGTGGTCTGTTTGATTGGTATATAAACTCAGTGTGTTTGAAATATAATGATTCCTATTACAGAGGATGAGATTGGTGTTGTTGACTTAACTGACTAGGCTAGACGGAAAGCAGGACCAATCAGGACTCTAGACTGCTCTCACGTGTTTTACGCGTCCTTGGTCCAATTGACAATTCATTGCTCTCTAACCATCGGTTAAAAGTTATAACAAACTCTCTGACTTTAGACTTGCCGCTTTTAATCTTTTTATTATAAACACTGATTAAGTTTGTAAAAGTCTACTAATCTAATAGGTAACTTATATTAATTGTAGTCTTGTAGTAACTAAATTTGTTACTATTAAAACAAACTCTTAATAATTTTCTTTCTTTATACTTTGCACTATTCAGGGAACACTTTTCAATGTTTCAAACTCATCAGTTGATTCATGTTATTGATATGCAAAAATGTATGGGGTTATTGTTAAATAAAAATTTCAACTATTTTATAGAAAAAAATGACCTTATGAATTGTTTAGAAATAGGCGAATTAATTTAGAGGAAAAAAAATTTTTTTTTATTAGAAGAACTCAATCGAACTCAAAATGTGTATACACCCTTTTTTTCCCATTCTTTCTTCTTTCTTTTTTTTTTACATGGTTAATGGAATTTTTTCCAGTTTCAATAATCGGTGCTTCGAATTAAAGAGAGAGAAAGTGTGTGTGTGTGTGTGTGTGTGTACGAAAAAGCATATCTAGGGGGAGAGCGAGAGAGAGAGTTTACATAATCTGAAATAATTTTGTAGACTGTACCATGTTACCTCGAAATAATTTATACAATGACTTAAAAGAAAAGATTGTTATTACACAATACAATTCTGTAGTCAGGTTCATTATTTAATCCAAAAAAAAGCTTCAATTTTGTTTGTTGGTAATTTTAACTATAATATACAAGAAAATACAAGTTTTGTAAAGAGCAAGAACAAAGATTCTAACAGAATAGCATGAATTCATTTTATTGCGTAGGTTCTCGTCAGCTGCTTATAACCTGTGGTATTTAAAAATCATCATAATTACATAATGGGTTTAAATTACTTACTGAATATTGTAAATATATACCTAATGTGAAAGAATATTCTACAACATTAATTATGACAACAGTTCAAAAGTGGGTTAGAAACAATTGATTACATAATGAATAAACATTGATAGGAATATAGTGAGTAGAGTTCAGTTGAAAGATTATTCATTTGAAAGACAGTTGAAAAAATAAAATTTTTTTCAAGGTGCATTAAAGGAATATTTGCCACCAGGGCAAGGAAAGATTAATCACCGTCTCCTTTTGAATACATAGGTCAGGTTTTTGACGCCTGATGGCGATGGCTTCAGCAAACTTCAGAAGACTGGAGTTCGGTTGCTTACTAATCACCCTAAAGGATTGTAAGGTATCTACCTGATGTCCTGTATCAAGGAGATGTCTGATAATTGCACTGTTCAGAGTCTTTCTTTCCCTTGTTCTAAGACTTTTTGGAACATGTTCAAAAAATCTAAGATATGCTCTCCTTTCAGTTCGGCCGATGTAGCTGCTGTGGCAGGTACACGTAAATTTATAAATACAGTTGGGGGTAACATGAAAGGGTTGCTTGTCGATCTTTGATTGGGTTATTGAACATGTTGTTTTATAGAGAGTTAAGAGTTTAGCAGCCGGATAAGTTCTGGCTAGAGCAGTGTTCAGTCTCCTGTTGATTATTTGTGCGACCTTATCATCTTTAGAGTTAAGATTTATATATACTGGCTTCTTATTGACCGTAGTTATTTCCATCTTGTTTTCTTTGGGCTTTTTATATTTGTTAATAAACTTTTTTGGATAAAAGTTGTCTTTTAGACATTTTTCTACGTTCATTAATTCTTCTTCCATTTTGTCGGTGGTACATATCTTTTCTACCCTGTAAAATAGTGTTTTAACCAATACCTTCTTGTAACTAATTGGACAAAAACTATTGAAATTCAGGTAGAGGCCATTCCAATTACTTCTTTCACATTAGGTATATATTTACAATATTCAGTAAGCAATTAAAACCCATTATGTAATTATGATGATTTTTAAATATCACAGGTTGTAAGCAGCTGACGAGAACCTACGAAATAAAATGAATTCATGCTGCTCTGCTAGAATCTTTGTTCTTGCTCTTTTCAAAATGATAAAGGGAACTATGTGTATGGAAAATACAGATTTATTCGCTAAACAATAAGCCACACTTCTTTTTTTATAGTGAAGATTTATGCGTTTAATGCTAGTTGTGTTTTCTTTTTTTGGGGGTGGGGAGTAGAAGAATTTTGCACTAATTTGCGTTACAATTATAATGTTTTTCTGGTATGATACCCAAAGATTTCGATTCAACAGTCAGATCCTGATCGATGGAAGAATTAGTGACATACGAGTTAATTTCTTTCAATCCCCCTATGATAATATATCATGTTTATTTTGCGTTTATCTTCTGTATATAAATATGTTGTATTATTACAAAAAAAAACGTATCGTCTGTCTAGTGGTTTTGTCTTTGATCTATAATTACGTAGGGTGTTGCATCAATAATGCAGTCTCGTGGGTAGCTATCTCTTCGCCAGATGTTCCTAAGTGTTATTAATTCTTCTATCTGTCTCGGATTCCCGACGCAATGTGTTCTGTTGTTTACCTCTTTTTCGTCTTAAGGATTTCAAGTTAAAGCTTGTGGTATAGTTTGATAATTTGATTGATGTGGATCTATACTTAGTGAATAAATTATATAATTTGCTAATTTCACTCTTATCTACGTCTTTTCCGTTTATTTATTTATTTATTTATTTATACACACATTTTTTATTCTCAAAGCTTTAATGTATGCAAGTATATTTGGTAATGTTGGTGCATTAATTCAACGTCTTTATAGCGGCACAGCCAGATATCATGCACAAATGTTACGTATTAAAGAATTTATACGTTTTCATCAAATTCCAAGTCCATTACGTCAACGGTTAGAAGAATATTCTACACAAGTATGGGAGCATACAAATGGGATAGATATGACAATGGTTCAGTATAGTTTTCCGGAATCATTACAATCTGATATTTGCCTTTATGTATATCGTCATTTTTTAAGCGGATCAGCTGCATTTAAATGTATGTTCTAGGAAATATTTACAGTTGTGATCTTATTTTTTTTTGTTTATTTAAAGAGTTTACGCACATCTTTTTAAGTCATCATGTATTTACGAACTGAGTTTGATAATCAATGATCATACTAGATTATCGTCTTACTATATCGTGAATTGATTAAAGTTCGAAATATGAGTCATTGGGTCGCTCCACTTCAGTTTGGGCAAGCGGGTGGTATCATCATTCCGCACACTTAGAGTATTGCTCAAAGTAGAGTGCACTAATCTGTAACCGATATATGAGCTATGAATTAATGTGAAACTTAAAAATCCTGAGTTCTATTCTTGAATTATGACACATTAATCTACGCACATTCCCTCAGCACACAGTTTACTTCCAGGTTAGACTCAAACCTACCAACGTTTGAATGTTATAACAATGTCTGTTTATTTTCAGTTTGAATTACGAACTGATCTTAGCTAGACCACTATTTAAAACTTGGAAGCACTGCACGTCTGTTTTTATCGTAGTAGGGAATTCCTCAGAAGTGCACATCCATGACGTTGTGACTGGGATTCAAATCCAGGACCTTTGGTGTCACGCGCGAACTCTCAGCTTGCATCCAATGGTGTAAACGTTTAACTTCGATCGATTTATTCATCTAGTGCAGTAGGATGTGAATGTACTAGATATCAACACAGCTTTTTAAATGTTGCCCAATAAGTTAAAAGTTTTCTTATCTCAGACTATCACTCATATGCTTCGAGATAGTCTGAATAATCCTATCGAACCAATCATAGAAGATCCTTCAACACTTTTAATATCGCAATTTTTTATGTAGTTGTATTGTTCCTCAACTTGGACACTGTCTTTTAGTACAACACGTTTAGAACAAACACAGTTTGTAAGTGGACAATCCGTCACGTCATATCGGTGCGTTCGATCAATAAATAACTTTTTGGTTGATAGTTTTTGTGTTATTCAGTTTAAATTGTAGGTTGTATCTGATTTAATGTACCGTTGAAAATCGGGGAAATCTGGACAGTTTTTTCGTTCTAGTATGAGACTGCTTAGCACTGCCCACTCATGACCGCCACAATGATCGAACTTAGGACCCTCAGCTCCGGCAGTAAAACGCCTCATAATCACTTGAACCACTTGGTTTACATTTACCACGAGGACTATGTCCTCGGTGCGCAATATTGAGGAGTCCCATATCAAAACGAAATACCCTATCCTCAATTACTCCTTGGTTCTCAATAGCACCCCAGATCAGTCAGTCAGTCAGTCATCATCAACGTTATAGCCTGACATATGTATGAATTAGCCCATGATGTCATACCATATTAGTACGGTGAGGTAAAGTTAACAAGATTAATGATTGGACAAACCACTATTGTACAATAGCAATGATAATAAGAAAGAATAAGCATTTGAAATATGATTTGAAGTAGTATATTGAAAAGGTATGTACTAGAATTGAAGAATGAGAAGAAAATAAACAATTCAATGTACTTGTTCTATTTTGATTTATTCTGAGCCATGTTATCCAAATTCCTCCAGCCATTAATTCCAGTTACCTCAACTGAGATCAATCTATGATCTATACAATCAACAAGTAATGTTCTTCATTATGTTACTGTGCGTGTCCGTTTGTGTATAACTGCTTTGTAATTACTTGTATATTTATTTCCTTTTTTCTGTTTTTTTTTCTTTTATTCACTTCATCTAGCATTAAATGATGGTTGCCTTCGAAATATCTCTTTAAGAATTCGTTCTTCTCATATGCCACCAAGTGATACTTTAGTACATACTGGTGATTTACTCACAGCTATGTATTATGTTGTTAAAGGCAGTTTAGAAGTTGTAACAACAGATGATATTATTTTAGGTGTATTAAATCCTGGTGATTTTTTTGGTGGTCTACCTCCATTAGCTAGTGTACAAAAAAATCCTTATACTGTACAAATGAATTCTGGATGGGATTATTGGTCAGAGAATCATTTGAATCCTATGAATACAAATGCAAAATATATGCAAATGGATGATTATTCATCTATGCCTAATACTACTGGTACTACTACTAATTATAATAATACTAATAATCATAATCATAATTCAAACAGTGTAATTTATCAACCAAATCCACCTCCAAAATCACGTTTTGCTGTTCGTGCATTAACTTATGCTGATGTACAATTTATTGATCGGCATGATTTAGCTGAATTATGTTCTATTTATCCAGAATTATCATTAAGATTATTAGAACGTTTTGAATTAACATTACCGCTAACTATTTCATCTGATACAAAACTTACCAATACTACTAATACGGTAAGTGATAGGGTATGAGTGTATGTGAGGTATAGAAAAGTTGTTTTCTTCTTTTTTGAGGAGATAAATTTATTAGTAAAGCTTTAATCTTGTGACCTTAATACTCCTTATTTTTTGAGCTGTCTGCATATAGGTTCGGATCATATGTGTATAGACATACATGATATCCTGGAATACAGCCATACTGATATGTCGAGTCTTCAGCCTAGAATGATATAAGTGGGAGTTGGATAGTGGCTAGCAGTCGAATCCAGGACTCTAGTCCCGTCCGATATTAGACTTGTCAATCGGATATACCCTGCATCCTAGTGTTGATACTTATCCAGCTGACACGTGTCCCAAAGTGGGATGAAATGTAAATCCTAAATTCCACTGCTTGCCATTACCCAACTCTCTTTTGTAAGGCTTGTGACTAATGGTAATCCGCAATCGAGGATGCATGTATACCAAAAGAGATCGGTCAGTTTCATTCCTTAATACCATCAACGGGAAGAACCGTACTCTTACAAGTAACTGATATAACTGAAAGTATTTACAAGTGATATTTTATAGAGAAATTTAAAATAGAGATTAGTTTTAATATTATTGTTGTTCATTGTGTTTGTTTGTATAATAGTAAAACCTGTAAAATATTAACCTAATATCACAGTACACCGTTTTATAAATGTCTTCTCAAGGCTTCAAACCAATAAAGCTGAAGTCGTACAAATGACTTGATGACATCGTGAATTTTCATCGACTGATCAGTCAGTCAGTCAGTAACAACGTAGAACTTCGTACGTATGTACATCAGTTCGAGTTGCTATACCACATTAGCACAGAGATGCAGTTGTCAATTCAAATCCCGTAGTTGTAGAGGTAGCAAGAGTATAAGCAGTAATCCGGAAGATTAGGGTTTGGAGATGTTATTTAAAGAGTATAATCCAGTGAAGTAAATTTGGAAAGATGAAAAAAGGGACATGGAGAATTCAGAAGATTAGAATTTGGGAGAACACAGAGAGTGGATGCACCTGCGCCATTGCAAACGATTTTGAGCCATGTCATTCATGGTCTCTAACCATCGGTTGCTATCATCTCGTGGTCCCCAACCAGGTAGTCTACACCTACCAACATGACTCAGTCCACTTGTCAGTGACTTCATGGATTTGTGCCACGTTTTGGTCTGGCCGCCCCTAGCTTTCTTCCAACCTACTTCTATACCACTGAACATAGCACGTCGAGGTAGTCGGTCGTTGGGCATACGTAACACGTGTCCCAGCCATCTCAACTGATGAAGTTTCACTACTTCATCAATTGATTTGCCATCCTTACGTAGTACCCGTTTCCTAACAACTGTGTTACTTACTCGATGGTCCCATGATATACGAGCAATGTTTCGAAGACACCTATGATCGAATACTAGTAACCTACGAATATCCTCTACTCTTACCGGCCATGTTTCACTGCCATAAAGTAGGACAGGACGAACTGCTGCGCAGTAAACGCGTCCTTTGGTTGATAGACGGATATCTCGCAAAAGCTAGTCGAGCCTTCTGTATCCGTGCTTAGATTTCGTCACACACCAAACCACAAGGGCTGATGAGACTTCCAAGATAAGTGAAGCGGTCAACACACTCAACTACTTCACTCCCTATCACTAGTCCGGGTGTCGATGTAACACAATCCTGAAGCAACATTTTGCATTTCGAGGGGGAGAATCGCATCCCGAACATGCTTGCATTGTTGTTTAGAGTGATCAGGAGACTCTGCATTTTGTCAGCGTCTTCACTAAATGAAACTATGTCATCTGCATATTCTAAGTCAACAAGTGAACCTCCCGGTAGAAGGTCAACCCCTGGAAATTTAGATGACGAGAGTGCTATCTCTAAAAGTACGTCAATGACAAAGTTGAACAAGAATGGAGAGAGTGGACAGCCCTGACGAACACCACTTGAGGTAATCAATTCTGATGACAGTTCGCCATAAGCTCTCACTCTACCAGTTGTGTTCGAGTAGAGAGCCTTTATAATGTTAATGTACTTCTTTGGTACTCCTTTCAGTGACAAACACTGCCATAGAACCTCACGATCAACAGAGTCGAATGCCGCCTTAAGGTCGAGAAATACTACCATTGTGGGGTGTCTGAATGTGTGTCTGTGTTCTAGAACCTGATGTAGTGTGAATATCTGATCTATACAACCACGTCCAGGTCGAAAACCAGCCTGGTTTTCTCTAATCTGCTCTTCACGAGCTTTGATTAGGCGTCGAAGTATTATTGAGGCTAATATTTTAGATACTATATTAGTCAAACTGATTCCTCTGTGATTGTCACAAGACAATCATCGACTGATATGATTCGGATATAGATTACATGTACTCATATATAGTCTTCTTCGATAAGCGATATTACTTCTATAGGAGTAGATTGTAGGAAAACTTGTGGTGACCAGAATAAGATGTTTTACTAGACAAGGAAATAATTGGCTATTAACGTGAGCCATGTTAGTAGATACATACTAGTTGGTTGAGGTCTACGCGATAATCACAATCAACAGTTGGAGATGTTGGTTACATGATTTAGAATCTGTCTCAGTTACATCCACTCACTAAATTTAGGTCCACTATTCACTGCACACATACTTTTATGTTTTTCCTTCTGAAACCATATTCTCAGTGTCTAATCTTTTTCATAATTATCAAAATGCTTTTACTCTACAAATTCCCTAGTACGGTCGAGGGTGTGGAGAGTCCACTCTCCCTCTCGAAATGCCCCCACATGCCAACGCATATACAGCCCTGCCAGGGAAGTCCTACTCATTGCCTTCTCGTGGTGAGGGTGTTGTTTCCGAAACCAAGAGGACGAAAAGCGAATGTCCGACTCTTGAACCGGGTTGGTGGACATGGAGAGTCTACCCAGGGGAGTTGGAAAACCAAACCAATGGTGCATATGGGCTACACGATCCCGAAGGAACAAATGGTGTATGAATCTATTGATGGTCACCAGTTACCATGGGGTTGTATCTCCTGACGTTGCTCCCTGCCTTGTGGATTAGAACTTAAGGTCAAAGGCTCGGGAAGTGGCCCTCTAAGAAAACCACCTACTTCGGTTTGTGCGCCCAGGCAGCATCACAGCCTTTACACAAATCAATGATAACTACTACTAGCCTCATTGTTATTGTGTAATGCATATGTATTTGGTGCCCCCTTGTACCAATGTTAATTTGTTCAAATAAATAAATAAGGGAACCTATGTAAGTAAAGTACACTTTCACCTTTTGAGTATTTCATCTACGTGGTTTTAATTCCTCCCATGATATAAGAACCCAATCAAGCTATTAAAAAAATTTATTATCTTTCCATATGTTATCCTAATATTTATCTATTTTGTTCTGTCCATTTTAATGTATTTTTATCAATATGTCACTACATTTATTTTAATAATAGTGATTTAATTCATTAAACATATCGACAAGTCTTTATGCTTATTTAAAACTAATCGATAAGTTCCAACTACAACATTAATGAAATCGAAGCTTCCTAAGGGTTGTCAACACCCGTTTCTAGTTAGAAAATTCATCAACGACCTAATGCACATTCCAAGTCATTGAATTTAAGATTGAAATATATACACTAATTAGTCAGTTGATTGTAGCTATTGTCATGTTTTTATAAATTTATTATTAATCGAATCCTATAGATCAATTCAATGATGATGTTGAGATGTTACGTGGTTAGAGATCATTAACCAGAAACTCTAGATTTAGGTTTCGTGAATTCGACTCGCGTCACTCAGCTCCATAGTCCACATGTTACCGTTAGATTATATGGATCATGACTGACCCCTTGTAAGGATAGGATTCGTGTCCGTGAATTGCTATATATATATATATATATATATATATATATATATATATATATAATGTCCCCCCCTCCCAGTGAAAATTACACTCCTATATGCAGTACTGTCAAACTAAGTGAACGGAAAAATGTCCGAAAATATTAGATGTCACGCTTTATCTGAAATTTGAAAGAAGCTTGCTTATCTTTACACCCTGATTTAGAACTGATATATTTATGTCTGACATTTACACTAATGATTTGAAAATAATTCACATCGTAGTTTGATTATAGTTAGTGGTTGAAAAGGAATACGTTCTATTTCGTTAAGTAGCCATATCCAATGGAGTTCAATGAAATAGAGTGATCATTAGATAGACATGATTGATATGTCAATCGATGATAGTTCCACCATATTGAATTGATGAAAGTTTGTTACGTGAACTATTAGATAGAAATATATCGAGTAGTCTAAGGGTATCATTCTTGCTGAGAAGCTTGAAAGTTCTAGATATTCACAGTTTCAAGAAAGTCATTAGTTCACACTACTGGGAAGTCATATGCTCAAATGAGGCAACTATTTCGTGCTTCCTGGTTTTTAGTGGCTATTTAAGTAAAGTTTATTGGCGATATATATATATACTCAAATTAATAATAAAACTTACAGTAGATAAACATTGTTTCTATCATTTACCTTATATTATATACATAACATATACATAACATCTTGTTGTGTTAATGAGGTATGGCAACTTGGACCGATGCATATATGTGCCTTGTCCTACGTTGTAGCTGACTGACTGAACATAACCAAATCTAAGTAAGCAATCATACAAATCACGATTAACCGATTATAAATTGATCTTTCAATGTAAATGTTAGTTAAAATATCCTCATTTACAATGATGGTTTGTACATAACTTCAAATAATCAGTTCTCTTGGTAATTATTGTGAATACTATATAAACAAATATCAGTTATAATTGTGATAAACCCTTGATTCAGCTTACTTTTATGCAACTTGATAATTTTAAATTTACAGTTATAGGTATATACCTGAAAGTATAAGTCAATTATAGGTACGAGGTATAAACAGTTAATCGGATATACAATTCACCTAATAATTTTACATAACTACAAGTGTAATATCAATAGTTTATTTATACACTAATCTGTTTGGAATGTTAATTATTAACCAATTCTTACTAGTGATTATCATGAATATTGTAAGGAGTTTAACTTAGAAAATCAATCTAGAAGCGATTTAATCTCTTTATTAATAGATTAACTTCAAAAAATATATTCTGACGATAGTTAGACACTAAAATAAATCAAGACAAAGTTTAAAATGTTCAAGTTCAATGTGAATAACACAATGTTCAATATTGTCAGTCATAGTTTAAATATGATACTTAAAATTAATTTTCTTTCGAAATTAATCGGTTTAATACTGAATTTTATTCAAATTATTATAAATATATGCCCCCAAATGCTCTGGTACGGCCGAGAGTTGGGAGAGTCCACTCCCTCTCTCCAAATGCTCTCACATGGCCATGTATACACAAAAACTACCAGGGAAGTTCTACTCACTGTCTTCTCGTGGCATTACTGTTGTTTACGAAATTAAGAGGACTAAAAACGAATTTTCGGTGCTTTAACCGGGTTGGTGGATATGGATAGTCCACCTAGGGGAGTTGGAAAACCATCCAGGATCCTGATGGAGCAAATGGCGTATAAAACAATCGTTGGTCACCGACTACCATGAGACTGCGTCTCCTTGCATTTGCTCCACTCTCTTGTGGATCAGACCTTCAGGTCGAAGGCTCCGGATGTGGCCCCCTAATAAAACCACCTGCTTCGATTTGGGCACCCGGGCAGTATCACAGCCCTCACACAAATCAAATGAGTTTTGTGTGTCGCATATGTATTCGGTGCCTCATTGTACCAATGTCTATGTGTTAAAATAAAGAAATAAATAATTATAAGTATTTTATTTTTATTTTTTCATCCAAAAACCAAGAAAGATATAATTTTATGTGTGCTAAGTTACATACTACTTAAATAAGTTGTTTTTAAGTAGTGCATTTAGTGTTTCATCATAATCTTAAAATTACCTCTAACATTTTAATTCTTTTCATTGTATAGGATCGTTGTTCTACCATACCTAATGTTGAATCTTTCTTAGATGCAACATCATCATGGCATATTGTTTGTTCACTTTTAACTGGTTCATTAACATCACCTGGATTATCGAAACGTCCAAGTGATTATTCAAAATTTTGTATGTTAAATGAAACGTCATATCAAAATAGATGTTTTGATAATCCATTTATTGGGAAACCATCATGGGAATTAGAACGTTATCAACGTTTATTTGATCACGGTGCATTGTCATTTCATTTAACTAGTTATTCAAATGCTCAAATTCCTGTATGTTTTATTGATACATTATATAATAATAATGATAGTAATAATAATAATACTTCAGGTGTTACTGCACCGTCCACACATAAACATAATCCAGTTACACGTAAATCAGAATCATTTACTATGTGTTCAACGCATTCATCTGAACAAAATCATTCATTGCCTATTACACCTGTGACAAATACTCAAACATTACATGAACGTCGAATGCGTATGCGATTAGCGCGTAATCTTCCAACCAGACAACATCAACAAGTACCACCTCCGACAATACCATCAGTCCTAGTGCCTCCTACTTCTTCTTCTAGTTCTTCTGTGTCAAACCTTCCAGTAAAATCATCTGATAAAAATCATATGATTCATTCATCTGTGATATATCAACCGACAACTTTACGTGATTTGAATAATCTAAACGAAGAGAAAGAAATTATTGATTTGCTTGTGAAGCGTTTTGCTAGTGTAGAAAAGTAAGTGGATTTATCTCTCTTATCTATTAATATGTATATATCATGAAATTTTTTTAGCTTAGATGGACACATTTGATGTTGAATTCTCTGGACTAGTTGGTTGGATTGAAAAACTTTCACAGTCGTTCTAGACAACATTACCACCCATCTCATTCAGAGATAAGCTTCTTAGCTATTCCACCAGCCTTAAATAAATTTCTCCTTGTTGGCCTTGTTTGTTATTAATTTCCGTTACATGTTTAGTTGTCTTTGTTTGTTTTATTCAAGCTAACTATCTTGTTCAGTTGATCTCTGACCATGTGCTTGGTTTGACATGTTTCGAACGGGTTGATAAAGCGAGTCAAATCCAATGTATCATTGACTACTAATTGATCTGAATATCATGCTTTCAGAAATCCTCCGTTATTCTTAAAATTTCCTTAGGTCGGAGTTTTGACGTTTTCCTAGTCAAATTCATGTCCATATTCTAGTCTACATGCGTCAGTCATTCATTAACAACGTAGAACCTGTGTGTACGTATACCATTTCAAGTTGTCATACCCCATTTACACAGAGAGATTAAGTTGTCAAACCAGATCTCAGAATAGTAGTAGTAGCAACAGTATCAGTGGTATTAGGAAAGATTTGGTGTCGAAGATACGACCCAAAATGAAAGTATTAATTCGCGAAATAAAAACATTGTTATGAAGTATTTAGGTTCTCATGATTTGTGGGAAGACAGAGAATGGATGCGCCCGCGCCACTGCAAATGATTTTAAGTTATGTGATTGAAAGTCTCTAATCATTGGTTACGATAATCACGCGGATTCCAACCAAGTGGCATATACCTGTTCATTAAGCTGCTACTTTTAGTCTTACCGTTTTCCAGCCGACCTTCCTGGCATGGCAGGACCTAAAGGAACATGCGTTCCAGTCATTATAACTCTGCTGAGTCATTGTGATAGACAAGTCCGACCTCCACATCAAGGTAGTAGCTACTGTCGGATTCTGTATGCATGGATGTCAGCAATAGCATATCGTATCGTTTCACTAATGGATAGCCTGTTTTCGTGTATGCATAAATCAATAGATTGCTTACCTTTTTCAATATAGTGTTGTTTACAGTTGAGGCAGTCTACTGTGTAGATTATGTTACATTTGTCTTCTTTCGCTGTTATGTCTTTTGGTCTGCATATAATCACATGAAGTGAATGCGTTGGTTCATAGGTGACATTTATCTCAGGTTTTTTAAATCCTCATGGGAATCTCTTAAATACTGATCAGATATTTGGTAGAACTATCAGTTCTCGACAATCAATCCAAAATAAGGCCACCACAACAAACTTGTTTGATAACTGTGAAATAAGTAAGAAGTTCCTTTCTACATTAAGTGAGTTCTGGTAATATTTTCTAAACTGAAAACAAAAGCTCCGCAGTTAAACCATCTAGCTCAGAGAACGCAACAATCTCTCTCTTTCTCTCTCTTGGAATTGCTCTTTAAGTTATGAAAACTATTGATTCTGCCTGGTCGTGGTTGCTCACAAGTGAAGTAGATGAGTAAGTGTTTGAACCAGCGATTTAATCAAACTTATTCTGTACGTAAATTCCGAAATGCACTTCTACGCTTTTACAGAAACCCCACACGTGATACTAAATAAATACTGTATGATACGAACAGTATCATAACATAGTTGTTGACATTTCTTCTTTCTGTGGAAAAACTTGATAAGAGGAATATATTCAAATTCATGGGTTAATTATATATGCTTCCAGGTTTCCAACGGTGGTCTAACATCAATCGGTTCATGATCTCAATCAAAAACTTAATAATCTCCAAAACCCCTATACTGATAATTATATATGACTTGGAAATAATTTGGGTAATTATAGGGTTGAAGGTGAATAGTAGAAATAGTTTTGACATAATAATAACCTAGTAATGCTTTACAACTTAATCAAAGATTAAACATTAGATATGATAGAGATTACACTACTAAATGATTTACTAGTAGTATACTTAGATCTTCCTGAATGATTTAGCAACCTGTTGTTTTTTTCTTCACTATTTCATCAGCAAGGGGTTGTACAGACTGTTGAATTTCATTGGAAATACAAACGGATGACCATTCTGTCTGAGTATGTAGCTCCTCAACAGTGGGCATCCACGAATTCTAACATGGGAATCGAACCCTAGGCCTTCGTTCTCACGCGCGAACGGCTAGCCTCTAAACCATTGAGCCGGCATCCATTTATGTTGATGTTTTACTTCAACTTACACCCAACACGGTTTTTAACTAGAACTCCTAAAATTCTTCTCAAAGCTAGTCATTAGTGCGCGCACGATAGTCTTCAGTATGGGAGTTGTGGCAATTATCGAATTTCATTGGAATCATTTCTTTTGATTCAGTAGTTTGTTTGTGTGTACGTGAATCATCGTATGTTAACGTGATTAAAAATCGATTGCTTCTTGTAAATTAACTGTACATTGGTGTATGTATGTATGTATGTATGTATGTATGTATGTATGTATGTATGTATGTATGTATGTATGTATGTATGTATGTATGTATGTGTTAGGGGATCATTGGATTATTAAGCCTACTTTTAACCTTTTATTCTATCTAGTCTATGTGAGAAATCTGTGTATCACATCACGAATGACTAAGTTCTTGACCCTTGTTAATGAATTGTGATGATTCACATGCCCCATCTATAAAAGTTATTTTTATTTATTTATCTATCCATATATACGACTGTGTAAGTTTTTGTTTATCTGTATGCCTGTGTGTGTGTGTGTAATGTAATGTATCAATTTGTCCGGTTTTTTGTGATACCATGACAATACAAGTCTAGTCCTCTCTACACCCATAGGCAGTTTAGTCCATATGTAGTGAACAGAACACGGGTTGGGCCAATCGAATGTATTTAACCTACAATTACAGGACTTGTTAATAAAATCTAATTTACAAAATGTCCATCGATTGTCTCAAAATGACTCGGACTTCATTGTTCTTGCATTTCCATACAAATTGCATTCTGCTTCCATTCTTTACTGTTCGATCCTCTTGTATCTCTGCTTCCAGACCTTCTGTTCACGACTAACATCAGATACTACTTATATCAATATAAGTAGAACACACCACACATAGACTGATAAATTAACCAATCACAATAAGGCTTTATATATATATATATATATATATATATATACCTTTATTTTATGGTGAATGTTTAATGAGAATGAATTTCGGATGTAAGTACCAGTGGTTATTTCATTATAGCAAGGTAGGTGACGTATGTTATTTTAATAAAATAATTAGAATTATTTTGTGTAGTAAATTGGGCGAATAGATTATGATAGTATTCATGTAGTTCCTTATTGTGAGTAGTTATGTTGATTCAGATTTTGTGATGCTTAGACATAAGACATCTGGCAATCACAATTGATTGATCACTGGGTGGTGTTCAATGTCATGCGTGTCTAGTCCTTATTAGTGCAGATCGAATGCTATCGATTATGTTGCAATGTGGTCACCAGTCTAGGTGAATCGACACTGCGGGCACTATATATTGAGATTTATATGGTTAACAGTCAACAGTCCTGTTGACTACCTCCAACCACCATCTACATCTGGCAATATAAGAGAATATTTATTCAATTAAACTCTCTCGTGTAGTATATTGACCAGTATTCCTCTTTTACAGCTGTGTTGTGGGGATACACTTGAGTAACTAGTATTCCGTCTTATCTCTTCAAAGCACTGCCCGGGTATGTTGGAACCACTGAATGAGTAATATTGATGCTAGATGCAGAGTACTAGGTGAAAACAGTAAATTACTTGGTACAATAATAAACATTCACCATCTGAAATGATTGTGATATGCATTACGTATTACCAACACCCGTCTACCTCGATGTAGGATGTTGACTGAGGTAGGAGTAGGTTGGGAGGGAACTAGTCGGCGGCCAAATGAAAACGTGGCATCAATCCATAAACTTATAGATTCCTGCACTGAGTCATTTTGGTAAATTCAAACTACGTGTTCGGGTTTTGCCGGATAATCACAATTAGTGGTTAGAAACATCTAGTGGTGACATGTCTCATAATTGACCCCAAACACGACGGTATTCAATCCTTGTTTTGCCTTAGTTTATAAATTATTTTCTATCTTTTGTTAAGCGGATTCGTCCATTATTTCTGAATCATATCCCCTATTTCTCATAATTTTCCTATTTTAGTCTCATTGCTACTACTGCTCTTTCAACTCTTTTGCTATTTATCTTGTAAATTGTTATCACACTATGATATAGTGTGTGTAGCAGTGCATATCTTGTCTTAAAGTACTCTGGGTGCTAGGGGAACATACAGAGCAGCGCATGTGAGGAAATATACAAAAAGAGAAAATGAGCCGACGACTTAGTAAGTACATAAAATTCGCTTACATTTAATCATGAAAGTGATCGATAACAAACAGTAATAGAGTGCAACTAAGGCAATTCAATAATCACAACTGGTAGTACTACCGTGAGATTTCGAATCTGTTTAAGTTTGACATTATAACTCAGACTGATTTAGATATGCGATACATTCTATTTTGCATATAATTGGTTGAGGGTTGATTGGGGTCTGAATCAGTGACTTATTAATTGACAGTTGATATCACAAACAACACAAAAAGTTGTTTCTCAAATCTCAATCATTTATCTTTAATGTTAAGCTTTGGAAAAATGTACTCTAGCCAAAGTGGCCATAACACATTAATCCTACTAGGTAAATAGCAAAATTTTAGAGTATACAAACTAATTCTCGTCTGTTGAATCAATTTCAATAAGTGATTTCTTTTCCCTAGATATACAGTATAGTGTTTTCATGATACTTTCATAATCTCAAAATAGTTTAAGCTTTTTGTTTTTCACCTCATTTATACCTTGATGATTAACTAATTTGCTTCGGTCTAAGAACCCAGGTAGTATCACAGCCCACACACAAATCAAATGACTTGTGGTGCATATGTAGTCG